AGGACAAGGAGAACAGGAAGAAACGAAAGTGTGGATCATGGGGGGGGGGGTGACCATATGTATCTATAGGGCTTAACGGCTCAGGAATGGAAAGGAACATGGAAACCATGCCTTACCGTCCCAGATCCCATGGAAGACTCCGCAAAGTAGGCTTGCCAGCTTCATACTTCCTACTATTACTGGGTAGCTTTGTGTAATAGTTACTTGGTAGTTTCTAGGAGCCCTTCAGAAGGCTCGTGGCCCAGGGTCTACCATCCAATTGAATTCACATGTGAGATTAAGGGTGGAATCTTGGGGCTTAAGAGTAGTGTTAACCAGGACCCCCCCGATGCTCGCTAGAAGAAATCCTGCAATGCCCCAAGGCACCCAAATCTCAAGAAACACAATTCTTCAGGGAAGGAAGATATGCTAGATTCAGCAGTTGTTCAGACAGATGTTCAGACAGATGGCAGCATATCGCACTAGTGACCCCAAGAGGAAAGGAGACTACGTGCCAGGAAGAAGCAGACCAGGACGGACGTCAATATCCCTGAGAGTCGGGAGCCGCTCCGCATAAGGGGTGACGATTAGGATGCTTTCTAGACACCTCAGACATGGAAACAATTTGCAAGGTGTATAGTCACGGTGTATTTCCTAAAAACCGCGCAGTGTGGACTAGGAATGGTAGGCATGTCGGGAGTTGTGTGCAAACAGTGTGCAGCCGTTAGCAGAAGCCCCAGAGGTCGTGCAGCTTCAGTCTCACCGGACTGTGTCCTGAAGGGACTGACAGTCTATAAGCTGGGTTGCTGGTACGCAACTTAAATTAAGTTACTACATTGGGAAACCGTATAAACAACTATATATATATATACACACACACCAGCATATAACCGTTATGGTAGCTTACTTTAAGTTCCTTGCCAGCAGCCCAGTAAGGGTGCAGCCAAACGGGCAGCCTTGGAAGCGAGGCAGTGGTGATGAAAGCTAAAAGGAGGGTTTAGGGTTTAGGGCTTAGGGGTTTATCGTTTAGGGGTTTAGGGGTTCATTACCACTACTTAGGGTTTCGGGGAGGGGGGGGGGGTCATTCTTGATTTTTGAGGTTTAAGGTTTCGAAATTAAGGAAATTTGGGGACCCTAAGCAACGGGATTAGGGGCATTTCAAACTCTAGTTCATTTGCGGTGTGCAGCAGGGTAGGGGTCCCTTTTGTATTTCCCAGAATTAGGGGTACCTTTTCAGGGTCCCCCTAATGAAGTCCCCCTGTTTCGCCTAACGGTGGAGCCTTCGGCTTGCAATTGCTGGAGCAGATGCTTTGGACAGCAGGGATTATAGGGTTTTCAAGATAGAGAGTTATATGAGCTATAGTCTAAACTCCTTAGAGGGGGCTCTATAGCGGATTACATAGGGGACTACTTTAGGACCTATTAAGGGGATACTAGGAGTTTAGACTATAGCTCATATAGGGATTGTAAAAGAAATGGAGCATGCCACATTGTTTAGGGTTTAGGGCTTAGGGCCTAAACCCTAAACCCTAAGCCCTAGGCTTTGTGGAGACCAGCTGCTGGCTGGAGTACCTAGTCCGAGCGGGGCAATGGACTTCCCTAGCTACGGCTTGCACAGAAAAGGTGCGTAGGGATGTTTAAAAAAACCCTAGGGCTTACTGCCCCTTGGCATCTGGCAGCCTGTTCTGGCTTCCTTGCACTGACGGAGACAAGTCTAGAAGATGCAGTGTTGCAGTGGCCTTTCAAGAGTGTGTCCCAAGCGGTTTAGGGTATAGGGTATAGGGTTTAGGGTTTAGGGTAGCAATGTGTGAAACTCACAGACTGGCAAGTGGAAGTGACACAGACACGGGGTCTCAGTCTTAGCACGCACTCTTGCATGTAAAAGAGCACAGCCCTTGGTCTCCGCACTCGCTCACATGCTTTCCCTTGTGCGGGGGCGTCTGCCACAAGCATCGGAGGCGCCAACCTCAGCGTGTGGTCCGACCAAAAAAACGCTACCCAAGTGAAGCTGTAAACACAACACTAAGCCCTAAATCCTTACCCCCTGAACCCAAAATACCTAACCCCTTAACCCTAGATCCCAAACCCCTAAACCCTAAACCGTAAATCCCAAATCCCTAAGCCCTTAAACCCTAAATCCCAAACCCCTAGTTTGCAGGCAGCACAGGGACTCGGGCAGTACTTGCTGCTGGGCTGCCGGGCTTTCGGGACAAAGCGCGTGAGGCAAGCAAGGGTTGGGCATTCTTATTGACAAGAAGGGGTCCCTTTCGTGGGTTGCGGTTAGGGTTTAGGGGTCTCTTTAATGAGGTTCTTGCAGCAAGAATCTCCATATTTTGGCTGCTTGAGGCCTAGGATATAAAGTTTAGGATTCGGGGTTTAGGTTATAGGTCTATGATCAGATCAGGTCGGGGTCTTTATAGGATGCCTACATATAGATTTCATATGGGAGAAACCAGAGGGGGGGGGTGCCATTTTGGGGTCCCCATAATAAGGATGATAACATTTTGGGGTCTACATTACGGTCCTCCCATGGAAGCCCCAAGTAACTACTCAAACACAACGGGACATGAGCCTTACACACGGGTGGATACCTGGAACTGCTCTGTAGCTGAAGAAGGACCCCATCACATGTCTTTGGCAATCCCATCTTGGAACCCCAAAGTAGGCAAAGCAATGGCCCAAAATGTCACCCTAAAGCCTAATCCTCTACACGCTTTGCAGCTCCAGTTTTGCCTTAGCCCCAACTCCCACGGCTGCCAAATTCGGAGGCAAAGACGTCGGTCGCGCGGACGGATCATCCAGCTCAAAGAGACGCATTATGAGCCAAAACCCGAGGCAGATGCCTAAGGTCTAGAGTGTAGTAATTTGGGTAGGGTTTAGGGTTCAGGCCAGCTTAGGTGTACGTTTCAGGCTTGGTTCTTTCGGCTGCAACTGGTTTAGGGTTTAAAGTTTGGGGTTTAGGCTCACGCTATCAGATTTGCTGATCTCTTGAAGTTTCCATCTTGTGTCATCACCCGCCCACGCCACACGAATTCATTCTCACGGTTCATGCATTTACGGAAGATCATGGAGCGTTGAAAAGGTTCACATTTTATGTTTGTAATGGCCAAAATGGGTGTCATCACCGCAAGACCTCAAGCTAAAATAGTTTTTGTTGATGGGGGCCCAACGAGGGACCCGCCCCTCCCCCCCCCCCCATTTTTGGAAGCTCCCATATTTTTGGTGCCTGGCCCTCGTGTCCTCTCATTTTTCTTGATTCCTCGCATTACACAGAGCCCTTGTTGCCGCTGATCCTCATGCCCAGATGCAGAACCCTGTCCATAATGAGAACATTCTGGCAATCCCAACCCCACAAATTAGGACGCTATCACATGATGTGATAGCTACACTGTCCAAATTTTGGAGTTGGGGTTACCCGATTCCTATTATAGAATAGCTGCGAACATCATTCCATTGATTTCAAAACAGTATAATATACACCCACGCTCTATTGTTGTTTATGTCCAACATCAAACACCCCCCAAGCCCAACCTTCAACTCCTAAACCTAAACGGTGCATCCTTGTGCACCCAAGCCTAAATCTAAGGACTCCCCTATATAAACCTTACAGCCCTTATGTACTCCTAGGCTCCCCATACAAGCCTTTTTTGAGCCCTTTGTAAGGGTGGCCACCTGGTAACTCACCACCTGAAAATTCCCTAAACCCTAAATCCCAAACCCTTAACCCTAAACCCTCATCAACTTGTAATTGTATCCTCCATGATGTCTCAGGGGCATCAGCCATCAAACCCTATTCCTAATCTGCCCCCCCTAAACACCCAAACCCCCTAAGTCTAAACCCTAGACCCCGAAATCTAAACCTAAAACCCAAGCCCTAAACCCTAAACGCTACTGATGCTCAATTGTAGACCCTGAAACCCCGAACCCTGAACTCCTAAACCCTGAACCCTAATCCCTCCACCCTAAACCCTGAACTCGTAAGCTGTGGCAGGGCTATCAGTCATTGCCAATGTCGCTCTTGGCATCGGGTCCCATCCGGCGAGTGCTGAGAGTCAGATCTGCTGAGGCCGAAAGCACGGTTTGGGGTTGAGGGTTTAGGGATTAGGATTTAGGGATTAAGGTTTAGGGTTTAGGGATTAAAATGATTAGGGTTTAGGGTTTAGGGTTTAGGGATTAGGGGTTAGGGGTCAGGGGTTAGGGTTTAATTGGGGTTTATGAAAGAGATCAAATTAAGGTTTCTCATTGGTGGCTAGTAACTAGTAGGAAATGAATCTAGTGGGAAATGAATCAGCAGGATATCAGGCTTTGGAAAGGGACTATGTAGGCAATCACGGGGTGGAATCCACAGACAGCTGCCTAATAAAAAAGCGCGTGGTTTTTTGAGGTTCGCGAATTGCTTTTGGGCATGCTTGCCGGACACAGCCTGAGCAGGATTGAGGCTGAGGCCTCTCTGTGGCAGCGTCTTGAACTAGCCTTCTTGTCTCGAAAGCACTGAGACGGAACTACTGCTACTTGGAGAAGGTAAGCTCTGGTTCTTAAGTGAGCTCTAAGCCCCAAAAAAACGCAAAAGCCGCTGAGCACCAGTAAGTAAAGGCGAGACGCCTTGCTGGCGCAATCGACTGGGAAAGATACAAGTGCGACGTCAAGGACCGCAGGGACGGTGTTGTTGTGCTTTTTCATGCCACGTTTGTGGAAGAGCTCGCAGCACTACAGCTTCGTGTCCTTTTGACTTGAACCGAAGTTCAGTCGACCTGTTGAGGGCGTGCGGTGGCATGCCTGCGGCCGGAAACTAAGCGATTGGATCGGTGGACTTCATGCTTCTTTCGAGTCAGAGTAGCTTTAAGATCCTGTTCAAACAGCCGGGTGGTACGCGGATTTAGGGGATTTTGGGAACCTTCTGAGGGATTGTGCAGGGCAATTATCACAATCAGAAGTTGAGGTGCCTGGCGAGTGCTCTTCAACAAGAAGGACTATGAGCACAACTTCTTTGTGAAGCTCGCAGCTTAATCCGGCTGGCTGCTGATGGGCTTGGATTAAGAATAGAATAATATGTGAAAATGCAACTACCCCAAGCGCTGCATTCTGAAACTCCAACCTAAATCTTGGAGTCATTAGAACATGTAAGAATTTCCGGCAAGCCGAACGCTTGGGCAACTCTTTTCTGCCCGTGGGTTCAACAACTGGGTAGGCCGGTGGAACATTTGATATCTTCCCTAGTGGCTTTAACAGGGGACCCTACATAATAACGAGCATGTTTCAAAAGGTTTTGGGGCCAACCCAGACAAAGGTGCAGCTGCTACTTCAGAGTGCCAATCTACGGGTACCGGCCCGAGAAGGGTCTCCGGCACAATTTAGGGTTCAGGGTTTAGGATGTAGGGTTTAGGGTTTAGGATTTAGGATTTAGGGTTTAGGGTGGGTAATCAGGAAAACATAGACATGTATAGGGCAAAAGAGGGCTTAGGGTTTGTTAGGACCCTACTGGGCCCTTGATTGTAAAGATATGGGCTCTGTTGGGTTTAGGTAGGGCATGTGGCAGCAGCACAACACAACTGCAACAAAGGGTGGTCATGCCAGCAACGGTCTGCGGTGAGGAGGAGGAGGAGCAGCAGGAGAACGAGCAACAAGCATACGAGTAGTGGTCACCAAAACAGCCGCAGAAGTTGTCGTTTGGGAATTTTTCAACACTAGCACTATAGAACCCGAAAAGGAGCGGCCAAGATCCTCGCAGAATTCTCGCATATCCTGGGGTCCCTAAGAGCGCTTTATCCTGAGAAGCCCTATCTGCAATGCTGCTACAGCCAGTGCTGGTAATGTGCTTCTCATCTGTGTTTATCTTGCTTTTGCCATTGCTTGGCCATTGCTATGGCCAACGCTGAAATGGCAACTAGTGGTACTGCTGCTACTGCTGCTGCTGCTGCTGCTGCTGCTGCTGCTGTGGTGGTTGTTGTTGCCGCTGTTGCTGCTGCCGCTGCTGTTGTCGTCGTTGTTTTTGTCATGACTGTAACCATTTGATACTACATGGCTCATCGTTTCGCGACAGGTTCGAACGTGCCAAAGAGCTGGCCATCGCATACAGGCGGTGGGAGCCCTGGTTGGCGATTGTTGTGACTGCCGGTTCGGCTTAGGAGTTGCTGAAACCAACTCATATGAGCCATAGTTTAAAACTCCTGCAAGGGGGTCAATATAGGGGATTATGTTGGGGACTACTATAGGGGCCACTAAGGGGATACTAGGAGTGTAGACTATAGCTCATATGAACTCTGTAAAGGGGGACCCTCATGATCTCCTCACGGTGCCTCTGCATCCTCTCATTCCAAAAGCGTACTCTATACGGTAAGCCCGGTAAGCTGAAGTTGTAGAGTCATCAAGAAGCTTGCGTCGCCAGTGCGAACAACGTTTTGCAGTTCAAGGAATACTATAACCCTGTTTAGCAAGAAGCCAAGGTAAGAGGAGCCCGATGAGGATTCAAAGAAGAGCGTATTTTGCACTATACCCTAAACATTAGTTGTTTCAACTTGACTAGTGAGCTTTGGTTTCTTCGAGAGCTGGCGTTGCAGGAGCCATAGTCCTAAACCTTTACCAAGTGTATCAGGATGTATCAGGCGTTGATCAAAACACCTGGGCAGCTAATCGAAACTATGAGTTCCCTACGCGGGTACTCACCATGAGCAGCAGATCATACTGCCGTACTCTAGGGGCCTCATAAACTGGATTCCTCGTCTAATTATGGTAGAGGGCACCCTAAATAGACCTGAACATGATATTGTTTAGGCCCTAAACCCCAAACCCTAAACCCCAAACCCTAAACCCCAAAATTACTTCCCTAAACCCTAAATATCATGTAGGAAGCCTTGGCTTCAAACATCCTCTCCCGAACATGATGCTCCCTTGAATGCTTCATGGGTTCCCCCCCTTAAAAAAAAAAACATAATTAAGGGTATTTACGCTTAATTTTCCCTAATAACTTTCCTTAAGGGGGGAACCTGGGGGTGGGTAGTATGGGGGTGGGGGGTAGTAGGGGAACCCTTGAATGCTTCTGCATAGCATGAGAGAGACAGGAGTACAAAAGCCTGCATGGGCACAAGGACCCTAAAGCATGGGCATGATGGTATTATAGTTTGGGATTTCGGGTTTAGGGTTTAGGGTCATGCAGAATACTCAGAACTAACAGTAGTGCCCTGCAGCAACCTGACATTAGCAACCCAAAATTCATTTGGCAGTTTCCCAGAATAGGGGGACCCAAACACAGACCGCCGGATACCAGAACTCCTAAACCCGACACAACCTTATGTAGCCTTTCAGAACCCCAGGAAACCTTATAAACCCTTTTTTAACCTTAGATAACCCTAAATCACCTTTTACAACCCTAGATAACCTTATAAAACCCTAAATGACCCCGGGAAACCACCATTTCCAAAGTAAGGCGACTGGACGCGGAGTGGGACGAGCAGCAGAGAATCTGGGCGCTGGCCTCAGCTCTTGAGGGATTAGGGTTTAGGGTTTCTCGAGGCATCTGCCCAAATTACGGGGGGTTTCTCAAAATTAGGCGGTTACCTTCAAAGGGGAGATATGGGGTTTATATAGGGCTATGTAGGGTTGTATAAGGTGAAGGGTTTAGGGATTAAGGTTTAGGGTTTACCAAATTACTGCATACCTTTATGGGGTCCCAGTATTTCGGACTTTGGCATGTCAGGGTCTGTATTGGAGCACGCCTGTTTTGGGAAACTACTAAATGATACACTTTCAGGATCCCCTTGGGGGTCTGTCACTGTCCGAACGTCAAGAATAAAGAGGAATGTTAACCTTGGCTTAGGGTTCAAGGTTCAAGGTTCAGGGTTCAGGGTTCAGGGTGGGTACCTCCATCTAGCGATTGAGAGCCCGAACTTGTCATGCCCGAACGAGCCCTGCAATTTGAATCTCCCAAGTCCTACTTAATCCCCACTCAATTGACATATTCTTACATGTCCTCTTCATACCTAGACGTACTCCCCTAACCCCTCAACCCCTAACCTCTAAAACCCTAAACCCCAAACCCCCAAACCCCTAAACCACCAAATCCCTAAACCTCTAAACCTCTAAACCCCCCAACCCCTAAACCCCTAAACTCTAAACCCCTAAACTCCTAAACCCCCAAACCCCCTAACCCCTAAACCGGGGCAGCCGCAGGCCGATTTGCATGCCAAGCGCGAGCAGGAGCGAGCAAAGAGGTGGCAGCCCTGGGAGCCTGGGAAGCAGCCGATTGTGGGGGTATGGGTAGGGTGTAGGATTAAGTATGGGTAGGGTTGAGGGTTTAGGGTTTTTAGGGTGGTCTATCGCAGGGGCCAGAAAATCTGGAATAGGATTGATATAGGCCACAGGGTTTAAGTCTGCAGAGTCGAGGGGCAAACGAAACGCAACATGAAACGGAAACGGACTATGTACACATTTGGGTTGCTTACAGGGATTGTAACTTTCTAGGGGCCGAATGTGAGAATCGGCCTTCGGGATACATTGATTCTAGTATAGCTATGTAAGAGTTCTAATAGGACTTCGTACATATTCAGGATCTACACTATATACAGGTGTTTGAGGGCCTTGGGGTGTAATAGGTTTGAAGGTGTCGGGGTCTTGGGCTTCGCGTTTGGGGTTTAGGGTTCATGCTTTAGGGTTTAGGGCAGGGTCGAAATGTCAAGGGGTTAAAGTTACATGTGGCCCCACATCAAGCTAGCCTTGGATTTGGGGACATTCCGTGGCATGTTTCAGTCTCTGAGCCATGAGTGCCATGAGCAAAGCCCTACCAACTGCTGCAGCATGTCCTTGCGGGTTTTCATCTCCTGTGAAGAGAGCAGCTGCTCAGGCGGTCCGAGCGCGCGATAGCAGCTTCACAGCAGGCGCAGCGGCGACAAAACAAGTCCTGAATGATCTGCCAAGCTAACTTAGTTGTTGCACGTGCAGGTCCATGCAGAGCAGTCCATCTATGGCACTGAGGACGCCAATTGAGCAAAGACCCACTTACGGTGAAATGCAACTTGCAGATCAGCTGCTGGTACATGGGGTGCGCCACATGCAGCGCCTGCGACTTTGGTGCATGCCATGACCAGCCGCGTTTGCAGGAGCCCGAACCACTTCTTGAGGCGCCGAGATCAGACAGAACGCCCCAGTGAATCTCTTGTTCCGCAGAAAAGGTCCGAACAGCATCTAGGATTCTGCATGCTTGTTGGAGACAGGATGCTACGCCACACTGATGTGAAAAAGCAGTGTCAGACGGCAGCAATAAGGCAGCCCCTGTAACGAATTGAGTCCATCTTACCGATGGCTTCCCTGTCATCTTTGTTTAAGACACCATTTGCGCACCTTCTGTGGCCTGGGCTCGAATGCTAGCAAGACTCCCAAACACATCCATGCTGATCCTGTCATTCCGTTCTTGATGTAAGACGAGGGCTTGCCTTTGCAAGGTAGTCGCAGCTAACAGTACTATAGTAGTATTATAGTTATAGTAATACGGTTATCTATTACTATAATATATGGGAGTTTCTAAGAACTTCCAAGGTGCAGTCATGTCTCCTGCTCACAGCAGCAGAGCTCATGGAGACACTTGAAGAAGCAGTCTGCCTGCCAGTGACTTAGATGGTAGTTTCCCAAAATAGGGGGACCCCAACATAGACCCCAAACATTACAATCCTTGTTGTTGGAGCCCCCAAAAAGGTACCCCTCGTTTCCGGAAACCTCTAGACTTCACGGGATGATACCGAGCTGGTCTTTTGAACGGGTACCCAGTGGCGAGGTGACCTTGCATCGTAGCGTACACTGCAAGATTGTGGGAACACCAACAGGTGACATTGCTTGTGCAGATGGATCCTGGGATCTTACAAGTTTAGAAAGTTGTCGCGACCCGGCGACTGATCAGGCCTTGGCGTAGTAGACCCTATCCAACAAGATGGACACCTGTCAGAACGCCCAAGTGATTAGGACTCGGCAGATGCTGAGAACAGCTACGCTGGAGCACTTGGCTGTTGGCGGTTCCCTCAGCTCAAGAGTCGCCAACATGGCCATGCTCACGTTAGGGGAATAGGATTTCTTTTGCACTGCGTAGCCCACCCATTGCATCTGAAGGCTGGTGGCATTCATCATCGCAGTAGTGGCGCTGAAGAACGAACAGCAAATTTTCACTGGTGAATCCCCATGTTGTCCCTGCATATTCCGGCAAGAGAACACGAATATGGCCCGAAGGGAGGGGATAGAGGAGGCCTTGCAGCCCCATAGAAAGCCTTGCTACAATACAGAAGTATGAGGCTGCAACGATAGGAAGGGAGGGAGCCTGTGCTGAAGCTGTGCCAGCGAATCGGATTCTGAGTAGGAGTTTCAACAGGGCTTGGGGAGAATCCAGTGGGCACAGGGGTCGAGTTTTCATCCATGGTGCTCTGGTGCTCATGTGCAGGATTGCATTCCACTGCGCACCTTGTCGAACTGGCCCTAGCGCACGTGTAGAACCCCATGTGCTATTCTCAACGTTATGTTCCTTGTGCGTGTTCAAGAGTATGGTCTCAACATTTACGACACGTGAGAGGCGCCTCTCGTGCTGAGAGCGGCCCACGTGCATTTGACCTTGCTCGCCAAGGGTCTTCGAATTTGTGGATGCCAATCTGCGGTTGCCACCTCAGATTATGCGATTGCCTGTGGAACGCGCAATTTGTTCCATTTGTTTCTCCCACAAGCAATCTTTGTGAAGACGCTCAACATAAGAAAAAGCAATCGGCAACACATAATGCAGACTGCAGATAAAGAGGGCTGTAGAAACCCATTATTACAGTCTATTGAGCCTCATGTGCAGGCTTTCTAGATTCGACCCCCTCTGATCCCCCCAATCCCCATACCTAAATAATTGAATAAATAGATACATATATATATATATTTATACCTGTACATATATTCGTGTATATGCCCTACAGGGTCCCCCAAAGGTATTACCCCTCTTGGGAGAAACTTCCTAAATGACCCAGGCGCAACTCGCTTTTCATGCTGCAAGCACTCCAAGCCAATAGCAACATCCTCCAGTCCGTCAGCAGCGACCTGTGGCCTGATCCCGAAGTCCAGGTGCTGCTGAGGGTTTAGGGTTAGGGTTAGGGTTTAGGGTTTAGGGTTGATGGTTTAAGGCTTACATGTTATATGGATGGAGGGGATCTTGCACCACGTAAGATACCTGAAGTACTGTAATTGTCAGAGTTGAGGTTATCTCAGGTTATGCAATTCTTGGGTGGAAGGGGAAGGCGCCCAAATCTGACGTTCTGTTTTTGTGCTGGCAAACGGGCGGCCTCATTTTTCAAAACTTCATCAGAGCAAGCGCCAAAGGCTTTCGTTGCTTCCAAGAGCTGTTGGCCCCGGTTCATTCGGCCCCGGTTCATTCGTAGTATCCTAAAAGTTGCTAGCATGAAGTATCCCTCAAGATGGTTTACTGACGGCTATACCTCCCGAAAGTGTATCAGGATCCTTGATTTCAATGGATTTTTGTCTGAGACTTAGTACTTTTTTTACACTCGTGTAACAGGGTTGCTCTCAGCCTTGTGCTCATTCGTGCTTGCCCGCAGCCGCTGCCGCCAGCTACACGTATAGAACGCAGTCTGCCATCTTCTTTCCATAGCACTTGGGCTTCCATTTGGGAAAGTCTCCATGTTGGCTCTTTTGCTGTTCGCCTGTGTGCTGCCCCGTGCTCCGTTGTCGGAACGCCTGGAGCTCAGCTTCCAGGATCCTACAGGGTTGATGCTTGAGAGGGGGAGGTATGAAGAAGTGAGAGGAGTCATAGCATGATGGTACGAGCCCATCTGCCAGCTTTGCAGAGTGTTCAGGCAACTTTTGGTCTCCTGTCTCCCCAGGCACAGCACCAGAGCTCCGGATGCACAGCACAAGCGTGGCCAAGAGCTTCTTGCTCCGTGCGGGGCTCAGTTTTTTTTGCATGTCGGTCGTTGTGATCAGTTTGGCATATACGGTTGAAAGGTTGGCCCTGCATACTTGTAGTGTGAAGCCTGCATAAGCCTGCTAGAAGGTTGTCATGACAAGTTTTTGGTGAACTGGTGACAGTCTGCCAAGGAGATTCGCCGCGGCTTGCAGAAGAACGACATGAGTCGGAGATTCAGCAGGAGCAACAGGAGCCCAGCCATGTAAGGCGATGTAGTGCCCCCATGTTTCCAAGCGTTCTTTGCATGTTAGTTTTGCGCTGCTCGCATGGCATAAGCGCAAAGAGATATAAGGTTAAGTTTTTAAGACCAAGAAGTCTGGTTGAATTCGAATCTCCCTTCATCTTGGACGTACCGAGCCAGGGACCCTTGACCCAACAACATTTGCAACCCCGAAAACTCGGCCTTCAAATCAGGGCAAACACTGCACCGGAATCCCGGCCCTCTCCTTCTGAGCCGGGACCCCGAACCCAAAATTGCAGGTTGTACCCAAACCTGACACCCTGAGCCTTCAACTTCGAAACCCTAGGTAGCTTTCAAATTGCAACCCCCAGGCCTTCAGCCTTCAACGCTGAACCCTAGATCTACTAGATCCCAAACCCGAACATGACACAGTGGTGTCGCGCAGGACCCTGCCAAGGACGAAAGTAGCTTGACATGTGACGGAGGGCACATGGAGCTGAACGGTATCTACAAGGCGCAGACTGTAGATAGTTTAGGTGAGGGAAGGCTTCGGCTTTCAAGCAGTTTGTCATTTGGGATGTTGGATTCTTGCATGTGTTGCAGCATAGGGCGCAGGGTTTTTAAAAAGTTCAGGCTCTTCGGAGGCGAGGGGGTCTCGTTTCAGCGGCTTGGACCTGTGTAATTTGGGGCTACAGGCAGGAGGAGAGTTTGCTTGAAATTTGAAATATCGGGGACGAGAGCTTTATTTACATATTACATCTCAGCCGCTCGCTTGGGCGTAGTTAGTTGCTTCCTTGAGCCTCTGGCGATTCTGCTTCTGCCCCACGTCCGCGCTTTGTTTCAGGGGGTATCCCCGGCAAACCAGGTGAATTGGACTTTAATGTGTTCGCTGCACACATCAGGGACAATCTAAAATCTAAATAAAGCATTGCAGTAAATCGGAGTCGGTGGTGGAAAGCATGGTTCCCCTAATGCTTCAGCTAAATCCGCATGGGGACATGGGCGGTGCTTGTATAGCCTCTCTCCGAGAGCCCTAGGGTAGAGGTAGAGGGTTTGGGGTTTATGCGCTGAATTTGTTAGGCCTCTTTCAAGTCTTAGCATCCTGGCGCGGGAGCTTCCGTGGAGAATTGGCTCACAGGGCGTCTTTCCTCAAATGTTCACGTTCTATCCCTAGGATCCTGCTCGGATCCTTCAGGCCACACCCCGTGTTTGTAGATCCAGAAACCCTTACATCTTCTTCTCCATGTGTCTGAGGTTGAGGCCTGTTCAGGTCTGAGGGTTCAGGGGTTAGGGCCCTTTGCGCTACATTTTTTGTTTTTGCTAGCAATTCGGAATGCATGAAGCAAGGAGAGAGTTCAGGGTTTGAGCTTCAGGGTCTCTCGGATGAGGGTGTGGGGTTCAAGACGTGGCGTCCCAAACTACAGACAGATGGACAGCATAGCACACACAGATAAACAGAAAACTGCCTCATAACTTGGGTGCTCCCAACACTCCCCCAGTCTCCGATCGGAAGGATTTGAATTTCGTCTTGTGCCTTCCAGGTGGCAGAGAAGGTGGAGATCACTCAAGCCTGCGACATCACCTCGCATGGCGCGGTGCTTAGTTGGCCGAGCTTGTGCTGGAACTTGATGGCGGCTTCAGGGTTCAGGATGTCATTTCGGGGTATAGGAGGTCTACCCGAAGATTTTCCTGAAACTCTGGGGCTTCGGGTTGAGGAGTTCGAGCGCAGGCGGTGTGTGGGCTTCAGGTGAAGCTTCAAGGTTTCAGCTTTCGCTTGAGGAGCGGGCTATTAAAGGTACAGGGGGTTGGTGCCTTGATGGGTCTGTGGCCTGTGGTAATTTAAAATTTGGCCTCCAGGCATTCCCAAATTTTGAAGTCGCCAAGAGGCTTCCACAGTCAGCCCAAAGTCGTACACTCCCAAGGTGACGTCCCAAGCGGATGTTTCAACTGCACACCCCAAAGCTTGAGCTGCGGAGATCTCAGGTGCACGCCTGGAACTGCTTGCTCCAATTAGCTTCAGCCAGGATGTA